CATAAATGTTCAAACAGGCTTTCCTTCGCCTTACGCCACATTTTGATAGCAGTACCATGATTCATTCTAGAGTACCAGTCTAGAATAAATCATAATATGAACAAGATCTTGTTCTTAGCAGAATTATTAATTTCATTGTCTTGACTCAAGATTTTGAGATGTTTGATAAGCAAAGAACCAAATGATGTTAGCTGTTAGAGAATATCATAAAACAAATTAAAGCCCTACCATCGAATTGCTTGCAGAACACAAAGAAAAACTAAAATTTTCTCATAGACTTGTCATTTAATACAAATTCCATGATGACCCACAATCAAGGAGCAATGGAGTCTCTTAAAATTCACCTTAAAAATAAGACTCCTTAATATCAAATATCGAAGCAAGATAGATTTTGCATAATCTCTTTCTCTTCAATACTTGATTTTTATTTTAGGACTCATATGCATCTTCAAAAGCAGTAATGAGTGGCAGAGCCAAATTACTCTTTTATTTGAATCCTGCACTAATGTCATCTTTAAAAGAATATGCATTGAAGATTATCTGACATTATGTTTTGGTAATGTTGCTCCTTGCTTTCAGATATGGGAAGTCAGTTAAAATACAAGCATTTTAGAAGCTTCTTAAGTTACTATTCTATCAATAGATGTTACAACCTATTCAGCCGGTTAAGAAGTTCTTCTGACTAGAGATATAAATCCTTCATCATCAGACATTCCAAAGAACTATGTTTTAGGAAAGGTGATCTGTTAGATAGCTTTTCATCATATAATTTAATTTCTTTTCTTTGAAGATTTGCAAGACAAATCAACATAGCACAATAAATTTAAGTTGAATAACTTCTTGAATAACTGTGACCTTAGGTTTGAGTCTAAACCAATCTTCTCAGAATTTACTTGAAAGATAAAAAAATGTAACTAGATAAACTTCAAAATTGATTCCCACAAATATAAGCACAAGGATCCAAATATAGTATGAGCATTAGACATATCAATGATCTTGACATACTCATAAGTGAGATAGAGCACCTACCAGAACTTCCTTGCTCAGATTCCATGAACCCAGGACTTCCTTGCTTAGTCCCTCAGCCCAAGACTTCTGCTCAAGTCCCTCGGACCCAAGACTTATGCTCCAAGTCCCATGAAACGAGCCTCCCTGCTTGATCCCCTCTGATCCAAGGCTTACTGCTCTAGTTTCATGTACCGAGCCAACCTGCTTAAGCCACACTGGCTCAAGAATTCCTGCTCAATCAATCTACTTGATTAAGACTTTTACTGCTCAATCACATAACAAGAGACTTACGTGGCTTAAGCATCTTGACTCGAGACTTCCTTGCTTGTGTCCCAATGACACAAGACTTCTTCTCAATCAACCTAGTTGATTAAGACTTTCACAACTCAAGCACATAGCAAGAGACTTACGTGGCTCAATCATCTTGGCTCGAGACTTCCTTGCTTGTATCCCAATGATATAAGACTTTTATCTAAACTACTGAACAAACTCAGCAGAATAAAGAATAAGGTGTATATGATGCAAGTATCAGAGGTACGAGAAATCACCATAACAAAGACCTAAAACATTTAAGATTTCTAAGATATTCAATGTGTAAGAAATCTTAAGGCTTTTATAATTACAACCTATTAAAGAAAATTTGGATTTACAATGTGTTGATAATTGCTAATATTGATACTCCTTCTTCTAGTTTATCCTTGTTAAAGATTCAGTTTGAATCTTCAACCGTGTTTATAGCCTTTTCAGAAATTAGCCGTTGAAGCGGTAACTTGATCAAGAGTCTTTACTGTTACTCCATAGTACAAGATCCGTTGAAGATAGATACACCAAAAGATCTTGATCCAATGTGTAACATGTTTAACCTTTGAGTATTCAAGAGATTCTGTACTATTTGAGTAGTTGAGAGTAGATATTCACAAATCATCTCAGCCTTTTTTGAGTCTTGCAATTTGTAGACTCTAGTTGACAAACTGATTTGACAATACAACTTGCTTTCTGCAATATAGACAACTTCAACTTCATCACCAACTCTGAATGATATCAAAAGCCAATTTGCATTCACTAAGTGTAAAGACAATTATGTTGCTTCTTCGGATACTGAAACCTTCAGCTTTAGAGTCTACGCCAGACATCACTTAGCAAATGTTCTTCAGATTCTGTCACCAGAAGCTAGCAATTCAACAACTCTCAAAGTGTGCTTAATATAAAACAGATTCTGGCTATAATATTTACATGTATTAGAACTCATACACATGTAACACACATCAAACAAAACATATTTCTTTTAATACTTTGTTATCATCAAAATCCAAGAAAAATATATCACAAACAAATATTGTTCTAACAATAACAAACAAAGACGATATAAATTAGTCAACTCTCAAAACAATATCACAATCAACCAATTCACAAAACAGTCAAAAAATAAAACAAAAAACAAACAAAAAATCACCATGAATGATAAAAGCACAAAGTCTCAAAAAATGATTTACAACAAGCAAAATGTAGAGGAAAAATATATGTAAGAAGAAAACATGAATGTAAGAAAAAATGGATGGAATCGACACATAAAACATTATCTAAAAATAGAGAAGGAAAAACTTTCTCATTCTTTTTTAAACTCTAAATCATTCTTCACGTTCTTCTAAATTTTCAAGAAAGAGAGAGAATTAATTATCTATTAACGAATGAAAGAGGTTTTTGAAACCATCTTCATCTTTTTCCATGTTTTTGAGAAAGAGAGGGAATGAAACTTATCTTAATGGTGGATGTTTTGCCTATTCTATGAGGACCATACGACATAAGATAAGGTAATATGTTTTTTATCACCGTGGAAAGGGTTGTCGGCTAGAATGACGGAATTTAATTCAAATTTTTTTAAAGAGAATTGTGAAGAAATAGAACGCATATTTGCGACTTTTCCTATGCAACCTTTTTACTAATTGATGTAACTACTCACTAATGTACTCATTTAATACTCGATAAATACATATGGTAATTAAGATTTATTAACCATTAGTCCAAACAAATGCGTTGAGTCCAAAATAATCGTGATTATTAGCTAATGGCAACCATTGAAAAACTGCACATAATTTAACTTCCTTATATAAAAATATTTGATTAGATGTGGAAATGCATTTTATTTTCACGAGTAATAAAAAACCAATAAAATCCGAAAAAAAAACAAAATAAAATAGGCTTAATTGCAACTATGGTCCCCTTATTTTGCATTTTTAAGTTTTGAGTTTGATTTTAGTCCCCTCTCCAATTTGAGACATTTTTTAATGAGGTGATGCTATCTAAAATGACGTGGCAATGCCAAGTCATTTTAAAATTAATTTGAGACTTTAATTATTGATTAAGATAATTAATTTATTAATATTATTTTCATTAATAAATAAATAAATTATTAATTTTTATATTTAATTAATTAATCAAAATTTTATATGAAACACTTTGGGCCTAACCTTTTAATACCATGTTTTTGGTCCATTTTTTTAACACACAATTAATTTGTTGTGTTTGTGTAAGATATATAAACACCAACAATTTTTGTAATAAAAATATTGTGGGACTCACAATTATAACTTTCTCCCACTGATTTCTTACTCTACTGTGTAATGGTTCAATTACACACTTCCTGCTTCTTTTTTCCTTCATTAATATTGTACAGAATACATATACTATATTCTGTAGCTGAAGATCAAGAGACTTTTCTTGGCTACAATATGTTCTCTTGCATGGGTAAATAGCAAAAGATAAAGTGTTAATACAAAATAGCATCTCTGCATGTTAATATAAAATTTCAATCTCTGATATATTTCTACCACAATCTACATGCATTGAGTAAACCTGCAGTTGCTACTTACTATTAAGTGAGTATGGTAATTCAAGGCATATGACAAATCTATCTACATTTTTTCAATCCACCATTTAAATTCTAAACTCATATATGTCAAAATACACTATTAAACTCAAACTTGTCAAAATATATTGATGAGAGAGTTTCTTTTTTGTAACATGAAACAGTTATAACATTACAAAATCAAATTCCTAGTTTTCCAGTTTCTCAACGAGTACCCTCCTCATGTTCCAACACTATAAGATTACAAAATTAAATTCCTAGTTTTTCAGTTTCTTAACATGCAGAGATGCTATTTTATATTAACGCTTTATCTTTTGCTATTTATCCATGCAAGAGAACATATTGTAGGCAATAAAAGTCTCTTGATCTTCAGCTACATAACATAGTATATGTATTCTGTACAATATTAATGGAGGAAAAAAGAAACAAGAAGTATGTAATTGAACCATTACACAGTAGAGCAAGAAATCAGTTGGAGAAAATTCTAATTGTGAGTCCCACATTGTTTTCATTATAAATATTGTTGGTGTTTATATATCTTACACAAACACAACAAATCAATTGTGTCTTAAAAAAATGGACTAAAATTATGGTATTAAAAGGTTAGGCACAAAATGTTTTATACAAATTTTTGATTAATTAATTAAATATAAAAATTAATAATTTATTTATTTATTAATGAAAATAATATTAATAAATTAATTATCTTAATCAATAATTAAAGTCTCAAATTAATTTTAAAATAATTTGGCATTGCCACGTCATTTTGGATAGCGCCACATCATTAATATTTGAGGTGATTTTTAAAATGGAATGCTCAAAACCCAAAAAAAATACAAAATAGGAGGAGCCCGTAAAATAAAAATAAGAATAACTCCTAGCTGTGCAAGGATCACATTGATTTGCTTCCGCTATCGTCTTCGTCCCTCCACCGATTAGGGTTTTCTAAATCCCAATTTCCTCAAACCAACACTGAACCCCATTAACACGACCTCTAGTTTTTGCGTTTTCGAATCCTACATTTCTCTCCATCCAACTATTCAAACGAATATCAGAACTCTTCAATATTTTCGCCTCATCGGTTCCGCGCGAAATAATTAAACTTCGATCTTCACTGCCATTATTCATGGCTTCTTCTTCGGTAATCACTCCTGAAGATGTTTTGGAATCGCTTATGAACGATGGCACAATTGATGCCCTTAGGTTGAAGATCATCAACCAGCTTAAAGCCAATGTAGTTTCTCCTCTCCGATTTTTTTTCTTTTCAACTTTCCTGTCTAGATTCCGAGTTCCAATACCATTTTTTTTTCTGTAAATTGCAATATAAGCTTGACCTATATTGCACCTACACTTCAGATTAACGCGGCGTTTGATGTTTGACTAGTGTAGTTGTATTCAATTACTTTTATTTTCTCAAATTATTACCTGAATATCGGTGCCGTGTTTGTGCCAGTGCTTCCAAGGTTTCACATGTCAACTAATTTTCTTACTTGGAATACAAGATGTCAGTGAAGTTTATTTGATAAATTTGTGCTGTTTTGTTTTTTTTGGCAGGAGGAACTAAAAAGTACTACTATAAAGATGGCTGAACAGAGTAAGGTTCTGAATACCCCTGGGGCTGAGAAACAAACCAAAAGAGAGCTCTTTGATGCTCTTCGCCAAGAACTTGAGTAAGTGATAGTTAGCTACTTAGCTTACATTTATATTTGAACTAAATGTTGAGTCCTTCTTTGGGAGCATGTAAAGTTTCGTTTTTCTCTCTGTGGCTGTTGCATTTTGTGCCAATGATCGACTCTATTTAGCACTGATTAGTTTGGATTTGGGTGTGATGCGCTGTGGTGATAATACAGAGTAGTGTAGAAGAAAGATATATGAAACACATCTTATACATGGCTGAAAGTAGAATAAAGCTTTTGTTATTAATTTTCTGTTTTGTAATCTATTCTTGAAAAGAAGAAAAAACTCTTCCCGTCAAAAAATAGAGAAGAAAAACTTTAATGTAATGTGTTTGCTGTCTCGGCCATTCAACCCCATCATATGAATATATGATTGGGTTTATGTACTCTGTGTGCTAAGGATAAATCCCATCACAACTTTCTAACTTGAGGGAAATGAAACTACAAGAATTAAATTTAATATAATATAGACTAAGTCTGCCGCAGTGCTACATTTTTATGAACAACACCCATATATTAGTGTGGATATTTGCAGATCTTGAATTTCTGTTCAAACTCCCAACTTGGTTTCCTAAATTTGTAAATTTTTTATCCATTCTGCTTGCATTATTAATTTAGTACAATTAAATTTTGAATGAGAAAAGGAGAGTTAATAAACTCAAGTGCATACTAGCAATTATTTCTTGACGTTAAAGGGTAATATTGCTGTCTCGGCTTAACCGCTGCATCAATGAAAACGATTGTAATGTAAATGGCCAATATAGTATTTTTTAATATACACATCTGATACGACAATACACATACATATAAGGTTTAAATCTCCCCATAAGATCCAACTTGATATCTATGCAGTTGTTTTGTCACCTGCATAAAATGTTACTGCTGATGTGTACATTTATCTAAAAACCAGCATTTGAAAACTTGGTTCTCCAAAAATGAAAATGTATTAGTGACGCTAGTAAAAACCTATGCATATCCAATAGGTATTCATTTTTTGGTTTTCACTGATCCGGATCTACTACATCTTTGATTCGGTTTAGCAATCAAAGACATGGTTGTTACCTGAATACAGCACACCCAACCCAATACACTATTGGTACCCGAAATTGGCACACCCAACCCAAGACATGGTTGGCACCCGAATATGGCACACCCAATATTACCTTTTACTACTATTTTAAAGTATCCTTACTTTGTATCCCCAAATCCAAAAAAAATCTTAATCCAAAGTACAAATCCACATGACTCACCAAATAAAACCCATCTTCTCAAACCTAGAGCTTGCTTGTAATGTGTAATATTTTTTGCTCCGTTTGCCATTTCGTCCATCTGGTGAGTTGCTCTCTTTATTCTTTCTATTAAAATATCTAGGCTGTGCTGTACTTTGTATCTAGACTGCTCATAACTTATAGCCAAAAGAATGCTTAGAAACCCCTTGTTTTTCACAATTTTTTTAATCTATTCTTTTACAGCCATTAAACCTCTTCATATGAAATAGTATGATTAGAGAATCTAATTAAATACAAATCACATCCTGTAAAATAGACTTAATCCTAATAATCATAGATAAATGGAAAAGTAGGTTGAACAGTTTACTTGATGCATATGGTTATAATTAAGATGCAAAGATATGTGTTGATACTTTGGTTCTATGAAGAAATTTTCCACCGATTTATTGTTATCATAATGAAAAGTGTCATGAAAGCCATTATTTTATGTAAAGACCACGGAATTGAGGAATTAAATTATTATTAATTATTTGTGGGTGGAAAAGGTCAAAATTTTTAGTGGCGAATTTCACATCACTTTCTTTAATCGACGGATTTCATGGATGTCCAAATTCTTCAGAAGACTTTGGTGATAAACTTTATATCATTACTATGGACTGGAATAGGGGTTTAGTCTGTAGTTGCTGTCTTATATTGGTGTTGCATGTGGGATAGTAGAAGCTGCTTGTTTGTATGTGTTTTAATGCTTCTATAAGCATGCCTCCTTGGTAACACAGATATGGTCGTGTCTTTTAATTTTTGTGGCTACTCCTAGTGCACACCTCTTGAAACGAGTTTTAATAAAAAGATATGCACTGAAAGGTATATCTGTTTAATCTTATACTGTGTTTTTTTGGGTCTTTATCTTGTACTATTCTTGATAGGTCTGAATTGATAGTTTGGACTGTTGGCCACACGGGCACCAAAAAAGCGAGTGCATTGCATAAAATTCCTCTATTATAATGTTTTCAGCCTTTTTAATGTCTATTTCCTTTTGTTTCTTACTTGATGCTTTATGTGGGGCGGGGGTCATAGAAGAATTGGTTGAAGTTATTAGTCCTGATAAGTTTTATGGTCACATCTATCAGGCTATTTAGTTTTTGCTGGAATTCTGGTTTTTTCTGATAAAATGTCAATTTCATGCAGAGCTTCTGTACTTGAGAAAGCTTCAAAATCAGTTTGGGATTTAATTTTAGACAACAATGGCCTGGGGAAGGAGATAAGTGAGACAGTTGAAAGAGTGTTTTGCCGATTGAGTGGCCAGGAACCTCCTTTATTTCCACTTCTAAATGGAGAACCACAACCTGAAAAGGAGGCTGACAGCAGAAAAGAAAAAGGTAAAGGAAAGCAGAAAGAAAATGAAAATACGAGTTTGATTACTCCTCCATCAAAGAAAAGAAGTTTCGGTGAATTAAATTTGGATGGTGCAGATGAAACTGCCCCCAGGTCCTCTGATCCCGTAGCGACATCAGAAGCTTATGGAAGATCGCCTTTATCGATTTCGAAGACTTGATTAGTGAGTTCAACAAGTTTATGTAATGGAAGTAATCACATCTGGTAAATATATTGAACTTGTAGGACTTCACTAGAGTTCAGAGGAATTGTTCCAGCCACCAAAGCCGTGTATTAAGCCCTGAACACCTTGTATCCTTACATATAATTCTACGAACTTTTATCAAAGTCTGCTGTTGAATCACCAATTTTTCATCGTTAAACTTGATAAGACTAGGAGATTCGAGGATTGTGATTTGAATGTTGCGGTTCTTGCTATGAGAATTATTAGCAACATATTTTAAGCATAATTACTGTGCAGTAGGCTGGAAATGAGTCGAGTCGAGTCGAACTCACCTCAACTCGGCTCGACTCGTTAAGAATTGTTCGAGTTCGACACAAACTTTTTTTTAAAGTCAAACTCGACTCGTTATAAGTTCACGAACAGTTCGGTTCGACTCGTTAGGTTCATCTCATTAGGTTCAGCTCACATGATTCACGGACTTAAAAATTATTTTTTTAAATATATATATTTTTTAGTATATTTGACATTTTAAATAAATATACTTTTTAAAATAAAATAAAAGTTATCATATTGAAATTTAACTTTATCTTCGAAATCTACTAATTCAAAACTTACACAACTTTCAAGAGATACATTTGAGAGTCTAATTCAAAAACTACTAAATTGAAGATTAAATTTGTCTAAGATTTGGAGTAAATATTTAAACCTAATCTTAAAGACAGTATAATTCTTCTCATATGTAATCGAGTTGACTCACGAACCTAACGAGTTGAACTATGTATAGTTCAAGTTCAGCTTATTTAGTTAACGAATTTAATTTTTTCGCTTATATTCAACTCATTTGGTTCATTGTCAGTCCTACGTGAAATTCTAGAGTGTAGGTGGCATATGCACAGGTGGTGCAAAATAGATTGCAAAAAAGTTACGATATTATTTTAATCCTTGAACTTTTTTTTAATCTGCATGTCTGCTTAATGAGTAGAAAAAACAACCAAAAATACAGCTATGCTTAATTAGCTGGATAGCTACTAGAGTCAAACTTCTTTGCCGTGCTAACCGAAGACCAATCTCAGAGGTATGCTTTCTCACAAACGAACAGACCAATATTCTTGAAGAGAGCGAAAAATAATGGCCTGAAAGTGGTCTCTTCTAATGATACAAGTCGCGCCTGCCAACGTTAGAGCGCCATCTCTATTCAACTTCACCCTAAATAAGGGCATAGCCAGAAAGTTCTTTGGTAAAGGTCAAAATCTATGCCGGTCATAAAAGATGCTCATTCAGGGTCTCAGATTGGATAGCAGTGAACATCAAGACATGCAAGAGACTAACAGATTTAAGGACAGGTATAAAACCTCATGCCCTTGTTTAATAGGTTGCCACATATCACTAGCATCAAGCTATACTTCCATTCTAACTGCTCAAACGTGATAGTGGTTAACAATGATAATTTTGCAAAATCATTACACTCTTTTATTCATTTACAACGTAATCTATGTGAAAAAAAATGACACTTGATATGGGAAAGAGTGGGTTTCGCGAGTAATCAGGTGAACATTGACCAATCAAACTGTGTGCTTGTATTTGTGTTGTAAACCAGGCTTGCTTCAATTGATTGACCAACATTTTGGTAAGCTACATTGGCACTATCCATCATATATGTTGAGTTGAATTCATTTTCTGAGAAATCATAGCCTCCTACTCCTGGTCCACTTGGCTGTGCTTGTATGCAACTTTCATGTGGGACAGACTCCATTGAAAGTGAAGTGCCATACTCATAATGAAACCCTTGACTCCAAGAGGTTGACATCATTGGTTCTTGATGCATTTGATTGTGGATTGCCTCGTCTGTAGCATATGATGTTTTTTTTTTGTTATTAACTCTGCTTAAAATGTTGTGATGAGCACAAAAGCAGTATTTATTTTGAAATAAAATTTATTGAAACTGTTACCTGAAGTTGGGTTATTATTATAATCAGTAATTTGAGGCATATAGCCAAACATTTGAACTTGTTGGTCTATGTGTTTTGAATCATCATGACAGAAACTAAGCTGTGTTGTCCTCTTATCCAAATGTGAATCAAAATAAATAGCATGTGAACTAGGAAAAGGTCTCTTGCTCAGTTCCAGCAATCGATTATCACATTGCAAGAGCTTTGCGTAATATTGGTCGAGAACTCCAGGAGGGAATTGAAGATAGTGCTTCCTGAGATGAAACATTTGCAATCAATAACAAAATGATAAACACCAACACAATTAAGCTGAATAGGTATCTTGGTAGTTAGTAGTAACAAGTTATGATTGGAAATAATGTGGTCCAAAACAAATGCATACCTGTATTTGGAAGCTTGGCCATGAGTGAAGTCATGAGATAAGGTCCACACAGTATGCTTTCCGGGCTTTGGTTCGATCTCTCGATAGAAGGATGGCACTTTGTCTAGCTGTGGCCACACACAATTTAAAAAAAGAAATCCAACGAAATTAGCATTCGTCCATCTTTAATAAATATTTGAAAGAAAGATCAATTCTTCGTCAAAAATAAAATAAATATTTGTTAAAAAAAGAGAGAACAATTTTGTGATGATATCATAACTTACTTATAACTTTTATATTAATATTTGTCATTTAAAAAGAGACAGTGGCACCGTATGTTAACACTTTTGAAGAAATAATACCTCGATTTCTAGGATACCCGGCGAATTATCCTCGATAATAGCTTGAATGGCTGAAATATTTCGCCACTGTATTTCAATCTTGTCCTTTAAACCATCACGCATTACCTCCCACACCAGTTTCCGCTTAGCATAATAAAACTTAGCTACCAAATCCGCAGGATATTTCGCCTCAATCTGCATGCACATATAGCATGAGACAAACATTCCATTATACAATAAAATCACGAACATCATGAAACTTATTAGTACACGTACCTTGAAATGCCCGATCATAAGCATATATATTGGAAAATGAACAGCTTTCAACTTCTCAACTTTCTTCGATTCATGTTGACATGAAGTTTCAGTAACAACATTTGTTTTTTGTTCTGAATATGGAAGCATCTCGGGTGTCAATGTGAGTTTTAACCCGAGTGGTAGCGGATACTTGGATAACTCTCTCAAGTTCAGATGTGCATCATCATTGTTGGATTCTGAGGGACTCATGTTCCAGTCATACCAGTTACTGTAAGCCATTTATAGTAGAGACTAGAGATAAATGAATATGAGTTTTATGGTTGGTTTTATAATGACATAAACTATATATAGAGATTGATATCATATGAAATTGGGGTGACTTGTATGTATGTGTTTGTGTGCATAATTACTTTTGAAGTAGTAATTCATTTTTTAAAAAGACGCATGCACGCACTAACTTGATTGTTATAATGATAAAAGCCAATTTGAGATAAAACTTCTAAAGTAGAAGCTTCTTATCCCCTTATACTGTACAATTTCCAACTCACTATCCTAAAGTAGAAGCTTTTTATCACTGACTTAAAAGTAATTTTTGAGTACAAGTATATAGATAATGTAAAAACGAACTATGTAGATTATATCTTAAAGTAAAGTTGAAAAACAAATGTTAATCATGTAGTAACTAGTTCAATCATTTTTCATTCTTATCTCATGGCCAACTAACTTGGTGAGAGTAAGTGGTTTCGGTATAATTACATCTGTGGGTCAAACTTTCCACTTTAGGAAATTGTAAGGATGATAATTACTGTGGGTCGCCTCATCTTTTTTTCAGAAATATTTTCTTTTTAGCATATTTACAATTTCCCCATTCATGGATAACTAAGGAAATTAAATCATGTTGAAATGTTTAATATTAATATAAGACAATGATCAATCAGAATCTCATTAAACTTGACACCTTCAACTTCATTAAATTTCGAATTAAATGACATACAATCATATGTGAATTATATGTGAACTTAAGTGATGATTGTCTCTAAATGTCTTCTTAACAAAGACATTTTAAAATTTATTTACAGAAATTATGGGCGAGTCAATCAAATAAAATCACTTAGATGTATTTTATCATTTATTTATCTTTAGTAGATTAATGTGAAATATGTCTTAAAATACGAAGTGAAAAAAAATAATTTCATGATTATAGAAATCAAAAATCAATTTGGAAGTCGACGTAGATTGGCGGTGGGCCGAGTTAGTTGGGTAGCAAATTTGGTTCAGACAATTTTGTCTACCATACTTAATTGTTTTAGTTTATGAATCAGTTTATAAATGAGTTTTGTATTGAACAATACTTTACTCTTGTTGAGTTTATTACCCAGATCCTTTGAGAACTTTAATGATTTCATTTTTTATTGTAAGAAAGGTACTATTACTTTGGATGAAGTCCAAACGAATGAGAGATAAAAAGAATTTTCAATGGTGAAAGATTTGTAGATTAATGATAATGACGAAGTCCTGAATATCACAAGAGGAGGAAATGAGCGTAAAGAGATGTCTAGATTAAAGAGGTTTGACAAGTCAAAGTTAAAATGCTTAATTTCTAAAAAATCTGATCACTTCAAGAGGGATTGTTCTGAAAGGGAGGATAATGAAGATTTTGTTCAAATTATTGTAGTCTCAAATGAAAATAGTTATGACAGCGCTGACGCATTAATGGTGTTGAGTTTGGAGACTCAAGAGGGTTGGGTTATCGACTCAGGTTAGTCTTATCCCAAGTGTTCAAAAAAAGAATACTTTAATACTTTGAACTCCGTGTAAGGTGAAGTAGTTCACTTTGATGACAATAACGTTTCCAAGTTTCATGGTATTGATATAGTTAGATTTAAAATATTTGATCATCAGGAGTTTCTTCTTCACAACATGACATAATTTCCAGAGATAGAGAAATTTGTTATCCATAAGAGTATTTGATGATCTACACTATTTCACTAGAGTTGAATATGGGGGTATAAGATTTCACATGGTGAAGTGGTCATAGCTAAAGAGTATAAAATATGTGAAATATATATTTTAGAATGCTCTAATGTTGTTCATTCAGTATCAACTAGTGAAGACATTAATGCAAAGAATAAGTTATGGTATTTGAGTTTAAGGCATGATAGATGCCAGTGGGTTGTTTTAGGAACTTTAATGACTTATATAGAAGACAATGGATGAAATTACATTTGTTCTTTGAGTTGTCATGGAGTTTCTAAGGTAACGTTGGTGCCAAATATACTTAACTGATTGAAAGATATTTATTTAGATGAATAAACATCTAATCAATTATAGAAGTTTTGAGTTGAAAGACTATAACCTAATATGTTTTGAAGGTCTTCAAAATTTTGCTTATTGATCAAATCAAGCCAATTCAATTTGATGGTAAAGTTGTAAATCATGTCTTCATTGGCTACCCAAGAGGTAGGAAGGTTATGAGATATTGAGAGTGAAACTTGTAGGATCGAAGTTCACCAATCACATATGTATTACTTCCAGCGAGTCTTATAAGAGTAAGAATAGTAAATATATAGAGATGAATCAATTAGAATCAATGACAGAGAAGACTTAGTTTGAGGTGAAGATTCTTTCTATTGATACTTGTAATAGTGATGAAATGATTACAGAGGCCTATGATTATCATTAGACTCGTGATGAGTTAAGAAGGGAGATTGTACAATCTTAAATGGACGATTATGTTGGCCTTAAGTGTTATGATTTGGATTTGGTTGAATGGTTGTAAAACCCAAAAGCATGGATATTTAAAGTGGCGGCAAAGCAAATAGGATCAAAGATGGTTCAAGAACCATACTTGTGAGCTTGTTAGATTACTGAAGCAGAAAAAAATCGTTGGGGGCAAATGTGTGCATGTGACAAGATCAAGGTTCAAGCGAGACTTAAGCTTCATAAATTTTTTCAGTAGATGTTGATTTAGAAGAGATAAACACAATGGTCGGTGGGTAAATTAACATCAATATGGTTTTAAGTCAAGGTAGAGATTGTCGAAGTATGTCTTAAAACCTTAAGTAATGAAGATAAATATAACATGTTTCGAGATTACATAAACCATAAATCATTCGCAATGGATATAGGCAGAAAATACAATTTGCTAAATTTTACCGATTCCAATTGTTGTGGAGATAAGGATGATAAAAAGTCTATAGTTGGATACTTATTTATGTTCGGTGAAAGACTAATTTCATGGTGTTCAAAGAAGAACCAATAGTATCAATCTCATCTTGTGAGGTTGAGTACGTTGCCGCTTCGTTATGTGCATGCCAAACCGTATGGTTAATGGATCTGTTGAAAAAGCTGGGCGGCAATGAGGGTGATACTATAACACTGATGGTTGATAAAATTTTCTCTATAAATATTGCTAAAACCCAATTGCACATGGGAGGAACAAGCATCTTAAGATGAGGTTTTACAACTTAAGAGAACTTGTTAGTGAAGGAAGGTTAATATTGGAATACTGTAGAAGTGAATACCAAGTGACCAATTTGTTGACCGAGATGAGCATGGGCATGAAAGACTTAGAGAACTTGAAATAAGTTGGTATTTTTAGTGAAAAACACTAATTCAAGTGTTATAACCAGTTACTGCAAGGCTTTAACCAGTTACAATTGTGTAAAAATGTCAAAGAAGCTAAAAACAAGTAATTATGTTAAGAGTGTATACGGTTACACGTTTGCAATAACCTATTACCACTATTATATTTTTAAGTTTTCAAAAAACTGTAATCAGTTACAGGTTTGACGTAACCTATTACAGGCAGTTAATTTCAAAAGCTTATGTTATTTGTATCCCTTGAAAGCACATAGTATCATTTGATTTTGTTTACATTCTTTGATTATCAATTGTGTTTTGATGTTTTATAATTCGACTATTGTTTTATTGCATATTTGTAATTGGCCTGTTATTTCAATTCATCTGTGTGATTGTAATCGCTTCGAATACTTACTTTATACCATTGAGAACTTACTTTATACCATTGAGAACCCACTACATTTCATGATATATTCATTTGATCCTTGTTATCTATTTCCTTTTTGTGCCTATGAAATTTCCATTTTGTCGTTTCTACATGAGTAGCTTGAATCACAAGTTAGAACATTTAATTTTGATGATTTGGTATTTGATTCAAATCATGTGTTATATTTGATTTGAATCAATCACCTATTGAAAATTGGAATATCATTCTGGGTCAAATGATTTAGATCATAACCTCATTTGATTCAAATCAAGTCCAAATAATGATTCAAATCATTAGATTTAAAAAGAGCACTTTTTGACACTGTCCAGATTGATTCGAATCACAAATTCTTCTTGATTGAAATCAAACAATAAGAAAAATCCAATTTTCCATCACTTATTTAAATGATTGTTTCTTACGATGAAAGTAACAATTGTGGGAAATCTATGGTGATCCATAGATACAAAAATTGTGATTTTTGTCTTCTATTCTTAGTGTGTTCCTCTTTACACCATTCTTATATCTTCTTCTCCAAACAACAACCTTTTGATATTGAACCCATGTCAATTCTTTATCTTTTTTGTTGCATCTTGTTTTGTGCAATTTGATTGTTGTTCTTGTGTAAATTTGAGAATAATTTGATCAATCTTGTTAAAAATTGATCAAGCTATTAATACCTATCATGAACCAAGACCCACTCATCTAGAAACTTGATTGAACCTGATGTGTGTGTTCTTCACTCAAAAAAAATAGAATTACTTGACTAATCGCTTGTAATGTCAATTGTTGTTGAGATTTCCTTGCACTGTTCACCATCTTCATCCTCAGTCTTTTTCCTTATTTATGGACCCTCATCTAAAGGTTGAGTGTAAGGGAGACTAGTGGTACATTAGGGTATATAATGTTTTTGTGTGTAACTGGTTTTTTTATTGTAATAGATACATGTATTATTTTTTAAGTGCAGTTTGACATTGAGTTGTCATCTAACAAGATGAGAGTTTACGTTATACTCCAAGGAATACTTTGGAAGAATAATGTATCAACGATATGTAAGGCGAAGTTGAAAGTTGTCCTTCTTTGGTGGCGTTGGAGAAAGATTGCTTGTAGAAAAAGTTGGGAGTTGTCCAATATACGCCCAGTTAATGGAAATCACTCAGACAAGAAATCGGGGGGATCAAGGGGATTGCCGCACACGAATACTTGGAGCATGTTATTGTGGATAGAAGTTTATTGGATCAAGATCTTGAGGGATATTATATTATGTTAGTAG